CTGCCCCTGCCACCTCTACACCCACCTTCCCGGGGCCTCCTGGTCGCCCAGCACCAGGCCGGATGTCACCTTGCTCCACTGAAGCACAGGGGCGCTCCGGCTCCCTGGGGTGTCCAGGTCCTAGGGCAGAGGAGGGTTATCAGCGCCCAGGCCGGCTGGATGATCCAACACATAGCTGGACCCCCTCAGAGCCTCGCACAGGAAACAGGGCCCCCCTTGGGAGGTGACTAGTGGTGGGGTCCCTCCTGATCCCATTGCCTGGGGAGCAGAAGCAAGGGCAGGGAGCCGGAGGCCCAGCCCTGCCCCTCGCTAGAACCTCGGCCTCTACCGGAGCAGCTGAGGGCTGCCCTGCCCCCAGCTGGCATGCATACCCTGGGCTGCGCGGCGTGGGGCACAAAGGTGACAATGCTGGGGCTGTGCTGGGAGACCACAGGGGCCGGCCGCCCAAGCACAGCCTCCTTCTGCTTGCGATACACCTCCCGTAGACGCTGGCTGCGCAGCTCCAGCCCCCGAGAGGTTAAGGCCTTCTCCTCCAGCGCCTGCCGCCGCCGGGCCTGCGCTCTCTGCCGCATGAAGTCCCGCAGGGTCTCAGAGCTGTGGGGTGGGCCCGGGATGCCCCGAGCCCTGTGGCCAGAGGGCAGCTCCTCGCAAGTGGCATCCGGCCCAGGGAGGCTCCCTGTGCCCAGGGTGTCCACCGGATGCACAAGTGAGGTGCTCCGAGGCTTTTCTGGAAGGTTCCACAGTCCGTGGGTCAGGGTGTCCCGGTCTTCACAGACCCGGCCAGCTGATGTACTCCAGGGCCGCTGTGTGGAGACCTGCCCTTCGGGAGGGCTCCCGGGTCTCTGGAAGGAGGGGTCCCATGCTCTGGCCACCTGGGCCCTCTGTGGGCAGGGCGCCCACCTGGCTGAGACCCTGTAGGGCTGCGGCCCGGGGAAGCTCGGAGCCCGCTCAGAGGGGCCATCTTTGTCCACAGCCCAGGGCCTCTTGGAGAAGGTTCTTGGCATGCCCGGGGAGTCCCAGGGGGCCAGATGCCTCCTCTCTGCTGAGTCCTGCAGCCCTGGCTGTGGCTGCCCATGCTGCACCCTCCGCCTCCACGGGGGGTGCTGGGCCATGTCCAGCCTGGCCTGGATCTGCTGGCGGAGGTCTTGCAGGATGGCCATGGCGGTCTGGATGTCAGCTGGCTGGTCCTGGGAGGCCAGGCTGGGGGTGGTGGCAGACACCTGCTGGTCACTGTGGGCTGGGCTGGGCGCCAGGGAAGAGCCGGAGGGAACCTTCTTGCTGTCTTCTGCAGAGAGTAATGGGGCCGTGGGGCAGGGCATGGCCCTTGGGAGGGTGGTACCCAGGAGGGGTCAGCAGGGCGGCAGGCACTCCCCGAGAGCTTCCCTTTGACCCCTGCCCTGGTCACAAACACTTAGGGGCCTCTGGGACAGGTGTCAGGTCTGCATGACTCAGGCGGCTGAGGCTGGAAAAGCCTGGGGGAGTGGGGAGCATCCTATCACATGGCGCCCAGCCAGCCATGCTCCCCAGGGGCTGCAGGGCTGCAGAGCCCATGTCCTCCAAGGCCCGCTGACCTGAGGTGTGGGCCAGTCTCCCACTAGGACATCTGTGGAAGCCCCGGACACTGCCTCTGCCCCAGGCACTGCTGCCTCTGGCTCCCGCCCTGGTGAGGTACCTGATTCCTCTGTGGTGGCTGACTCTCTGGTGGGTGCCCGTCTTTGGCGCCCAGGGAGGGTGGGAGGAGGGCCCAGCAGCAGCTTCGCCAGGCCTTGACCTTTCCTCCAGGCGTACACGCCCACTGCATCCGCATCTTAAACGGAGAGGACACAGCTCACCGAGAGACACCCTGCCTGGCCAGGCACCTTGCGATGGGGGTGGGGGGGTGGGGGAGGGCAGGGGGCGAGGCCAGACAGGCATCCACGAGTTGGGATGTCTGTCTGAGTAGGGACAGCCGCCCAGAGGCTGCAGGGAGTGTTTGTTCTAAGGGTGGAGGCTGTCTGCTGCAGCAGGGGTGGATCCCCTTGGAGGTCCCTGAAGGTAGGCGGGGATTGCACGCGCACCCGGGGAGGAACCCGTCGGTCGCCTTGCAAACACAGATGAGCTGGCTGCGACGCAGGAAATGCCACGGATCGAGAGGCTTTACTTCGTAACCACACGCAACGCTTACCGCACACCAATATGGACACCTCCACGGTCCCACGCACACCCACCCGCTGTGGGCGCCCAGCGGGACGGGGGCTGGCCTCCCGTGGACACACCAACCACTCCGGGTCCCGCTGCCCACCCTGCCGCCCTGTGCGCAAACACGGCCTCTGTGACCCGCGGAGAGATGGTGTGGAACGAACATCCCATGTCCCGGGATCGTGCCTATGGGGGTCCCAGCCCGAGCCCCCCCTGTGGCCCCCACCTCGGGAAAGGAACCCCAATGAGGGCACCTTAAGGTAGGGACCTGCCAGAGAGGGGGCTCCCGGGGCTGGAAGGACTGCTCCAGGAAGAGCCACGCCCCCTTGGCCCAGGACCCTCGGGCCACGCCCTCCCACCGAAGCCACGCCCTCCCAACAAAGCCACGCCCTCTCAACAAAGCCACGCCCTCCCTCAGCCCCAAAGCCACGCCCTCCTCATCTGGACACTGGGGCACCACCTTCACCAAGCCACGCCCTCTCGGGGGACAGACCCTTAAAGCCACCTCCTCTAGCATCCAGGGCCCGCCCCCGGGGGTCCACGCCCTTCTTCCCTCC